CGCCCGGCTGCTGGGGAAGGAGGGGGCGACCCGAAATGGTGCAGGGGCCCTGGAGGGCCGGGCGGGGCTGTCTTTGTGAGCGCCAGGGGAGGGGCCGGGCGGGGCGCTGCTGGCCCCGAGCGCCCCGAGGCTGCCCCAGTAGCGCGGTGGAATCCGCGGCCGGATGCGGACCGGAGAGACGCGGGGTCTGGACGTGTGGCCCGGGGCCGCACGGTCCTGCAGGAGCCCGTCTTCCGCCCCCTCCCCCGCCCCGGGCCTGGGGGACAGGTGTGCACCGGACGGCCAAGGGCACCTTCGCTACCTTCCAGCGGGCGCGGACCGGGCAGGCACAGGGCGGGGACCAAGCTAGCGGAGCCAACTCAGCCTGCCTAGCCCAGCCCGGCCGGCGGGCCAGCCACAGCACAAAGGAACGCTAGGGCGGGGGAGGAGCGGAGCGGGCTAGGGGCCGGGCGCCCCGCCCACCAGGGGGGCCTTCTAGGAGTTGGGGTGTGATGGAAAGACGTTCATTGCCACATGGCAACCGCCCAGTGACTCCTGTTCCTCTCAGGAGTCGCAGAGGAGGCAAGGATGAAGGGGGATTGCCGGGGCTGGGCAGCTGGGTTGGGAGATGCCAAGGGGGCTGAGCTCCCTGCCTAGGGGACCAGCGGGGGACCCTGGGCTGTAGTCCTCGGGCGCTGCAGTCCTCGGGCGCACGAGCATCGAGAGAACTCCCAGAGAGGGATGAGGGGCTGAGTAGATATATTGAGACCCTGGCTCCAAGGCCCAGTGGCAAGGGGCTCTCAACTCCCTAATGGGGGAGGAGCTAGGCTGCTGTCTTCCTCCTCCCCAGCTGTTGCCTCCCTCTGAGCTCTGGGAGGGGTGGACCACCTGCTCTGGGTTGGAGTCCCCAGGGTAGTAGGAAAGCCAACGGGTTCCACCCTGCCCCATCCAGGAATCATTCCCCTCCAATACTCTTTTCTTGGAGTGGAGGCCCATTTAGTTCCCAGGCCTCTTCTTCCCCTGGCAGGCAGGAAACTGAGACACAGAGCGAGGGCAGGCCTGAGGGACTTCATTTGAGCTGGCCTCACCCTCATGCTGGGAGGGCATTGGGATAGGAACACTGACCTGGGGGCTGGAGGAGGGGACAAATGGCTAGCCGTTTGTGCCACGTACTGCAGCACTGGCGGGCAGCCAGGCCTGGAGGGATGGACGCGGGAGACAAGTTCTCATGTCCTGCAGGTCACTCACAGGAGAGGCCAGCACAGGCTAAGTGGGCAGGCGGCCCACCCGTTGTCCCAGCCCTGCCCCTGGGGGCTGAGATCATGGGAGGAGTTCAGGGCAAGGAGCAGGCTTGGCCTTGTGGAGAAGCTGGCCTCGGGATATGATGGGCCCTGCCTGAAGAGGGGCATGGTCCATCTTGGAATGCCCCCTCACCCTCAGTCTGGGGGTACTACTGCCTACCACCACCCCATTGTCCCTAACTTCTCCAGAGCAGAGCTCTGGAGGCCCAGTGTGGGTCCACACAACCATTGCTGGCCCACATCCTGCTCAGCAGAGGCCTGGGCTCCCACCACCCAGCAGCATCCATGTGGCCAAAGCAAGTTATTCATCACTAGTGTGCGTCACCCCCCATCTGGGTTGTGTGTGGGACACACAGATGCACGCATGCACCCTCACACATGCACACATTTGTTCACTCCCAAGGGCCTAGATAGCATTTTGTAAAAAGGGTGTGAGGATCACATCTTGCAGAGGGAGACATGAGGGCCCACAGCAACAAGCCAGGATACAGTGAGGTCTCAGGACTCAGGCGTGGACCCTGCACTCAGAGGTGGGAGGAGGGTGTGGTAAAATTGCTGCCTGGGCAAAGGGGGCTTGTCATTGCCCTCCCTTACCTGGTTTCTCAGTGTGGGGAGGGATGGGAGGAGCTCACTCTTAGGATGGCAGGGCCTCTGAAATGGAACCCTGCCCAGGTGCCAGGCAGGAGCAGAGGACCCAGGAAGTCAGAATGTGTAGTAGGAAGAGCCAGTGTTGCCCTGGATGTGACATGACTCTATGTGTGACCACACACAAGTCCCTGCTCCTCTCTGGTACTGAAAAGAAGAGTATTGGGCTCAACCATATCTGGGACCTCCAGGATGTCACAGCTCTAACATCCTGATATGATTGTCCTGAGGCTTCCACGTGCCCTCAGCTTCCCACCTCAACTGACCCCAGCATCTCCATGGAGCTGCAACATCCCAGCTGCCACCTCACCCCGGTCCCGTTTCTCTGGCCTAGATGGTTTCTCAGAGTTTGTGTCGGCGTCACAAATACCTACTGGTGCTGCTGCATGCTAGACACTGGACCCAGAGAGTGAGGCTTGTCAATTGACTGAGCCAGATGTCTCACCTCCATGGGAGCTTAGGTCTGACTGAGACAGTGTCTGTCTCTAGGAGTTGGAGCTGGGGAGACATGTGGATTCCTGGTTACCTATCCTGTCTTTGTGCCGTTTCACTCACTCCCACCTGCCCAGGCCACCTCTGATGTATTTGAGAAGCACTGGTTTAGTGAGACCTAGGGCAGGCTCAGATACCTCTTCCCATCCCTGCTGGGGTGTGGTGAGTGCTCTGGGGAGGTACAGCTCAGGGCACAGCTTCCCAGGGAGCTGGCATTGGGGCCCTGAGGAGTTTCTGCCGGGGTAGGCAGGAGGTGGAGAAACAGGTCTGGCCTTTCTGTGAAGGGAACCACATATGCAAAGGCTCAAGGGTGGGAAATATCCAGAACTGTGTCTGGCATCAGGGAGCCATCCAGTATGACCCAAGTGTGTGGTGTGGGTACAGAGGTATATCTGGAAAAGCAGGCAGGCGGAGCTCAGGGTTGAAGGCCTGACAAAGGCTTTGAAGTTAGCTATGGTTTCTGCCAGGTCAGGGCTGTGGCTGGAAAGGTGGCTAAAGGTGGGTAAGCAAGGGTGGAAGATGGAAGGGATAGGGTAGGTGTTCCTGGGAGTAGCAAGGGCCTTTAAAGCCTGAGAGAGGCTGACAGTTGTCCCTGAGAGGTGCGCTGTCTAGAGCAGTGTCTGGAAACCAGAATCTTGGAGTTCTGCCTTAGTTTCTCATCTGTGGAATGGAGAGGGGCAGACCTTGCTTCTCTGAGGGCCCTTTGTTCCTAATGGTGGATTAGGGCAGCAGACAGGTGGTGGGACAGCTGTGCTGGGAAGCAGCTGCCAGCATTGTGTCCTGGGCAACAGTTGGACCAGGAGCTCCCGGCCTCCCAGACCACCGACCTCCCAGACCACCTGCGTCCCTTTCCGTCCCTTTCCGGAGGAAGCGGGAAGTGTGTGTGTGTGTGTGTGTCCTCCTCCTTCCTTTCTTCCCCACTTCCCTTCTTCTTTCTCTCCTCCCTCTCTCTTCCCTCCCTCCCTTCCTTTCCTCTTCATACCTTCACTTCTTTTTCTTGTCCTCTCTTTTTTTCTCCTTGCCCAGTTTCTTTGACTCTGTTCCTCCCTTTCTCTTCTCCATCTCCCTTATGCTTTTGCCTTCCCTCCTTCCAGCCCCCAGCCTCCTGCCTTATTAGTGGAGAAAGGGGAGCTTGAAAAGGGACCGAACCCTCCTGAGCCTCCTCCAGAACAAGGCCCTTCTTCCTTGCCTCAGGCCTGTCCTCCCAGGGGCTCCTCAGGAGCCAAAATCTCTGCCTTCCCTTCTGTGAAATGGATGCTGTGCCACGGCTGCCTGGGAAGAAAACGCTAGGGAGGAGGAAGAGGGAAGACGGCTGCTAGGTCAGCTTTCTGGTGTCGCTAAGGTGGAAGGAAAGGGTGGCAGTCCCAGGAGGCCAGGGCCTCTGCTGGAAAAGAGGTGGCCTAGCTGCCCTTTGGAAGCCAGGAAGACATGGGTCACCCAGGGGTCAGAGTCTGGGCAAGAGTGACCTGGATGACCTCATCTCCATTTCAGAGAGGCAGAGATTGAGGCCCTGGGCGTGTCCCCGGGGTCCTTTGTGTTTAGGAGATTGCAGTCAGGGTGGGCTAGTCTTGTGCCAGTTGCTGGGTTGCCATGGTTACCAGGGGATGCCCTGAGTGGAGTGAACACTAGGTTCTCCTCCCCATCCCCTGCTGTGGGGGGGAGGGGCAGTGGGTACCAAGGCAGCGCCAGGTAGGTTCCTGGCAACAGCCAATGGGGGATGAGAAGCATGGTAGCCAGGGAACAGTAACCAAGGAACCGTCGCCTTGGAATCTCCATCGCACACCAGCTTGCTGGGTTGTAGGCTGCCAGGACCAGGGCTCCGAGCTCTGAGGACATGACACATGGGCAGCGATTTCTATCTCCCTCCTATTATTTATTTCTCACCTGACCCAGGGCCCCCTCTACCAGGCCCCAGGACCACTCCCCCACCAGTTTTCAGGCAGAGTGCTGGGCCAGAACCCCCCTCCTGTCCTACCCCCTCTGTGTCCCCCTACCTCCTCCCTAGAGCTGTCTCCACCCAAAATTGGCGGCCTGGGCCCTGACAGTTCTAAGAGCCACCCCTCCCACTCCCCAGGGCTCTGTATACATATGAGGATGGCTCGGATGACCTCAAGCTTGCAGCGTCAGGAGGTAAGAATTCCAACCATTCTTTCCCCTTCCTCTTCCACCCTCTCTTCCGCCCCCTCCTCCGGTTGTTTTCTTCCCCACCCCACTGGCTCCAGGCCACCTCCTAGCCTGTATCCAGCAGATCCACACTTGTCTGGCGGGTGTCCTTCCTGGTCATCCCTAAGATTCCCCGGGTGGGAAGGGAGGGAGCTTTGTTTCTTGTTTGATTATAGGAAGACAGCCTCAGAGAGAGAAAGTGACTTGCCCAAAGTCACACAGTTGGAGGGGAGGGCTCTGGCTGGGATGGCCCAGATCATCCTCACTTTCTCCAGAGCCCAAAGGCTTTATTTTACAGCGCTGGGCAGTGAGACTTGATGATGTGTGAGAAAAAGCAGTTCCTCAGTCCTACCCCCAATCAGGCCCTGGAGGATTCAGAGGCAAAGCCAACACCTGCCTGCCGCCTCTTACACCATCACAGAACTCTGAGACCTCAGGTCCCCGGGGGTGCCTGTAGATCCCACAAGAGGAGTCTTTCCTTCGGGTTCGAGGCCCTTTGCAGGGTGAGGGTTCAGGAAAAGGGAGTCCTGACACCCTCCTGATTCCCCCAGATGGGGGTTTGCAGGAGCTCTCAGGCCACTTTGAGAACCAGAAGGTGATGTACGGCTTCTGCAGTGTCAAGGACTCCCAGGCTGCTCTGCCAAAATACGTGCTCATCAACTGGGTATGTGGCTGTGGGCTGGGGAAGGGAGCTGAAGCCCCAGAGCGGTTGCCCTCCACCCGGCCTCACCCCCTGACACCGCTGGGAAGAGAGCTCGGGGCTTCGGGCTGCTGCCCCTCTTGTCCTTTCTAACCCTCTCTTCGTTGGGGACTTTGCAGGTTGGTGAAGATGTGCCTGATGCCCGCAAATGTGCTTGTGCCAGCCACGTGGCTAAGGTGGCCGAGTTCTTCCAGGTGCGAGTGGGGCCAGGGCTCTCATAAGGGCAGGGCCAGCCACCCAGGGCAGGGTCCATATGCTTGTGGTGGTGACAGGAGGGACCTATGCTGCCTGAACACACCTTCTTGCTGCAGGGCGTCGACGTGATTGTGAATGCCAGCAGCGTGGAAGACATAGATGCAGGCGCCATCGGGCAGCGGCTTTCCAACGGGCTGGCACGGCTCTCTAGCCCTGTGCTGCACCGACTGAGGCTGCGCGAGGATGAGAATGCCGATTTTATGCCGAGCCGGTGGTCAGTGTGCCCCTGGGAACAGCTGGCCCTGCCTCGTGCTGGGCCCACCCCTGCCCTCTCAGTCCTCAGCCTTTGCCCTGAGAGCTCCTGGAGCACTCAACTTGCTCTCTGCACTCACGCCAGGCCATTTGACTCTGCAGGGCACCACCTATCAGAAAACTGATGCAGCTGTGGAAATGAAACGGATTAACCGCGAGCAGTTCTGGGAGCAGGCCAAGGTGTGACCCCTGACTCCATAGGGTAGCTTTGGGCCTCTCTCCCCAAGTTACCCTTTCAGTAGTGTGTCCCGTCCCATGCACTACCCCAGCTGAAAGAGCAAGCCTTATGCCCGGAAGGCTCACTTTATTTCCCCAGAACCCTTACTTCCTTTGCCCTGAGTTGGGGATGGGCTGGAGGGTGGGAGGTGGGAGGGGGCAGGCTTAGGGCCTACACTGCCTTGGCATGGGTGGTTGCAGAAGGAGGAAGAGCTGAGGAAGGAGGAGGAGCGGAAGAAGGCCCTGGATGAGAGACTCAGGTTTGAGCAAGAGCGGATGGAGCAGGAGCGGCAGGAGCAGGAGGAGCGAGAGCGGCGCTACAGAGAGCGGGAACAGCAGATCGAGGAGCACAGGTGTGCCTGGCCCGCCCCGTGCAGGCCCTGCCCCATGCCAGCAGGTCCATGTGGGCCTGCCCTAAGGGGTGCATGCCTGCTTATCGTTCTAGGAGGAAACAGCAGACTTTAGAAGCTGAGGAGGCCAAGAGGCGGTTGAAGGAGCAATCTATCTTTGTAAGTTTCTAGCCAGAGCTCCCAGTCTCCTGGTCAGGGAGATGAGGATGGCCCCTGTTTTCCGGGGCCTCGTGGGGAAATCAGTGTTTTAGGGACAGTGATGGGTGTTCTGGGTACCCCTTCACGGGGTGTCATGGAGTTTCAGGCCTGCTGCTTGATCACGTGGGGTCTGGCCCCTGGCTGTGGAAAGACCTTGGAGAAGCTTATACTTCTGGAAGAGAGAAGTCTGTCTTGACCCAGACCCTAACTGACCAGACTCCCCTGTCCTTTCCCAGCAGGGCCTGAGGGGCTCAGGGTGGGTTAGACATGCTTCCTGCACATAGCGGGCTTGAGACTTGGTCCCCACAACATAACTGCTGCAGAGCCACACGAATGAATCCAGGCCGGTGCTCTGAGCATCTAATACACTGTGTGTAGTGTCTCCTTCAGAGCAGCCCCTTGCTCCAGGGGTGCTGTCTGAACCTCTAAACATTGGGGTGGCCCATAGAGCCTGTGGATTGGCCCTTTGAAACCGCAATGGAGTCAGATCCTCATGTTTTGAATTGAATTTTGTGTTTCAAAAAGGGCAGAACATGGTATAGTTCAGAACAGGAGGTGGGTGATACTCGTCTGGATTGGAAGTGTGATGGGCAGATATTGGGCCCTGAGGACTCCAAGGAGCTTGAGGGCCACACCCACAGGAGACTGGGAGGGAGGAGGCAGGACACCCTGCAGGCACAGGCGTTAAATGGCTGTCAGAGGTTACTCCAACCCCATCAGCTCCTGGGCTGGTAAAGATGGGAGATGATGTGGAGTTGGTAAGCTCTAGCTTCAGTGATTTATTCAGTAAACCCCTGTCACCACCTGCCATGTGCCAGGTGTTAGAAACACGGTGAGGAAGAAGATGGGCAAGGCCTTTTTAAACGAATCGATGAGTTTATTTTCAACTGTGGCAGAATATCCATAACATGACATATATCATTTTAGCCATTTTTAAATGTATAGTGTATTGGCATTAAGTATATTCACATTTTACAAACATCATCACTGTTCATCTCCAGAATTTTTTTCATTTTCCCATACTGAAATTCTGTACTCATTAACACTAACACTCCATTCTCCCCTCCCTGCAGCCACTGCCAACTGCCAGTCTACTTTCTGTCTGATGAATTTGACAGCTCTAGGTATCTCATGAGTGGAATCATACAGAATTTTTCCTTTTGTAACTGGCTTATTTCACTCAGCATACTGTCTCCAAAGTTTATCTATGTGTTAAAATGTCCTTCGTTTTTAAAGCTAATAATATTCCATTTTATCTATATAACATATTTCATTTATTCATTCAGAGCAAAGGCTTTTTGAAAAAGCTTTTTATGGAAAATTGCACACATACACATACATGCACATGAAGTAGAAAGAATAGTATAGTTAACCCCTTGAACTGATCACTTGTCTTCACCAATTATCAACATTTCAAGCAGTCTTAAGAAACTTATTCTATTATTTTATAGTTCCAGCTGGCCCTTTAGAACTATAAAATGCCTTCTATCAGTTTAAGGAGCTGTTCTGCTTTCTCTCCTCTGATAAGAATTGTCTTCTTTGTCTGGGTTCTCTTTACGCCAGGGTTGCTAGGGAGCTCCCATGTATCTGCAGATGCTCAGGTACAGCAATGCCGTCTACCCTTATGGTTAGTGTGTTGATCTCTCTCCCCTACTCACAGCCCTAACTTTTTTGAGTGTTTTTCACATCCTTGGTAGTTAAAGCTTTTGTGGTAAGTTGCCTCTGGTCTTTTTTTTAGTGAGGCAGAGGAACTGAGGAAGGTTATACTAGGCAGAGGCAGAGTATCAGCAAAGGCTGGTGGGATGTACATTTACGGGAAGGCAAGGAGCCTGCCTGGAGCCCAGTGGGCCGAGGAGCAGGGGAAATTTGAGAAGAGAGAGCAAGGTCAGGAATTTAGACTTAATTCTGGAAGACATGAAGTTGTGGATACCTGGAAGGGCCATTCTCCTGATGCACCCTGACAGAAAAGTTTAAGTTGTAGGTTATGTGCTCAAAAAACAAAGGATCTCTTTTATTTCACCACCTTGCCTGCAGCTTTTTCTCTCCCCTCAGTCTCTCCTGCCCCATTTGCTACAGAGGCAGCAGGGGACATTGATGTAGAGGCTTTCAGTGTAGTAGTGAGTTCAACTGAGCAAACATGTACCAACTCAACCTTGTGCTGGTCACTCACACATAGGCCTGAGTTCTCATCCTGTGTCACCCACAGAGGGTGGAAGAGATGATCCCAGAAACAGGAAATTTCTGACATAGTGTAATCTGTGTGCCTCGAACACCTCATGGGGACTCAGAAAAGGAAATGACCTGAATGGGCCAGGGACCGCATCCCCTGGCAGTAGGCAGTTCACAAGCTGAGGCTGAAAGCAGAACGAGTTGGAGCTGGGGTGGGGGTCAGGCACTTGGGGACAAGAGAGATTCATCTCCCATGCCAGGTGGGAAATGGTATGGATGTTCCAGGAATGGTTACTGGGTCATTCTGATGACTTTATACATCTCACAGGGTGTGTGGGCAGGTCAGGGTGGGAGGGGGATGTTGGAGAGGTGATGGGGCAGGTCAGGCAGGGGGAGGGAATGTGGGCCCATATGAGGGGCTCCACCTGCCTGTACTGGGGTTGCAATCTCAAAACATAGCAAATGAAATGAGCAGGTGAAAGGCAGTAAAGAGTGGTGGGGACTGTGGCAAACTGGATAGCACGCACCTGGTGTGAAGGTGGCTGCAGCTCTGGCCAGTGGCTGCTTGGGGGCATGTGGGCCAGTGTTGCCAGGTAAGAGAAACTGGAGATCCCGATTTCATTATGAAACTTCCTGATTCTTAAGTGGAGGCAACTAATTAACATGTTTTAAAAACATACTGGCAAAATGAAAGTCATGTATGGGCCATATTCAGCTAGTACTCACTATGACTCATGAGAAACCCCTGAGGGATTTTAAGCTAGGAAGCATCATGGTCTGATCTGGATTTTGGAAAGGTTCTTTGAGGGTTTATAGAGAAGAAATTAGGGGAGGAGAGCACGGAGGCAGGGGACTAATAATGATCCAGGAAGCAGTGATGGGCACAGTTAGCCAGGCACTGGAGTAAGTTTAAGAAAAGTTGGCTACAAAGCAGGGCGCACTCCTGGAGGCCCTGGGTGCCTGGTTGGATGTTTTTGCAAAGGAGCAGGAGGAGTTGTGCTGGGTGCCTAGGCACCTGTCCAGGCTGGAGGTAAGGAGGCTGAGGGCCTTGTGGATGGACAGAAATAACTGTGTGACTGGGTGGCGAAGGGAGGAGAGGTGCCACCTCCAAGGCTCTTCCTGCCAGATCATGGAGGAAACAGGCTGCAAGAAGGCAAGAGCTTCTGTTGGGGGTGCCCAGGACCATGTCCCTTTTGTTTCCAGGTTGACCAGCGGGATGAAGAGGAAGAGACCCAGATGAAGAAGTCAGAATCGGAGGTAGAGGTGAGAGCTGGTAGGACAGCAGGTGAGGCCAGCAGGGGTCTGCTTCAGCCAGTCCCAGCTTGGCCCTGACCCTTTCCTTGTGCCCCCAGGAGGCAGCAGCCATTATTGCCCAGCGGCCTGACAACCCACGGGAGTTCTTCAAGCAGCAGGAACGAGTCGCATCGGCCTCCGTGGGCAGCTGTGATGTGCCCTTGCCCTTCAACCACCGATCAGGTAGTCCCAGGTCCCACTCCCACTCGACCCTCACTCCTCAGGTTTTGGCCTTGAGCCTCTTTGGCACTCTTTCTTGGAAGGGAAGCCTTGCCCAAGGACCCTTGGAGAAGGCAAAGTTGTTCATCAGATGTACTTCCACCCTCCACCTCCCAGGTGGCAGGCCTAGAAGGCTGGGAGTGGAAGGAGGTCAATGTCGGGCCTTGGCTAAGCAGTGGGCAGTGCTAGAGGCCATCTGGTCCGCCCTGGCTTGGGCTAAGGCGCCCCCTCGCTGTGGGGAGCAGCCCTGTTGGGGTTGAACCAGGCCTTGCCTGAGGGCTGTGGTGCATGTGGGGTGGGCTGGTGCCCTGGCCCTGGGGCTTTCACCCAGGTTCCCTATTGGAATTCTCCTTGCAGCTTCCGCCTCCCCCTGAAGCACCCTTTTGCTTCCTGTCTGCTGGTCTGAGTGTTTGCCCCTGCGTGTGCTTGGCCTGTGCTGGGGTTCTAGGTGTGGGACAGGCTGTTCCCAGGTGTGTGCTGTGCAGAGGCTGGCTGCGTGGGGCAGGCTCCTTGCTGTGCGTGGCTGGTGCTGGTGGGAGTCCTGTGACAGCTTGAGGCTGTAGCCTAGCTTGGCTGAATGTGCACCCTGGCCAAAGGCAGCTTGAACATCCAGGGCCAGTCCTGGGGGTGGGTGAGGCCTTGGGGTGGGGGTGGGGGAGACTGACCCTCTCTTGTCCTCTGTTTCTCTCTCTCTGTCTGTCTCTCTCGGCAGGTCGTCCGTACTGCCCTTTCATAAAGGCATCGGACAGTGGGCCTTCCTCCTCCTCCTCTTCCTCCTCCTCCCCTCCACGGACTCCCTTTCCCTATATCACCTGTCACCGCACCCCAAATCTCTCTTCCTCCCTCCCATGTAGGTAGCAGCCCCAGGCCTGGGCAGGGGGGTAAGGAGGGCCCCGCTTCCCAGCAGCCCCCCGCCCTCACTCCCCCAGCCTGACCGCTGATCTCTGGTGTTTGTCCCCAGAGCAGGTACCGCCCGCCTCTTCCCTGGCCCTGAAGGGGTGCTGGCTCCCAGGGGCCTGGCTTACAGGGTCTGGAGTTGTGGTCTGGGGAGCTGGGGAGCTCCAAGCCCCAACCCAGACCAGACTCCAGAGAAGAGGTGCTGGCCAGGCCCCAAGGTGGACAATCCTGGTCCCACCTGGCTCCCTGGCCCTCACTGACCAGCTTGGGGGTTTGTTCCACAGGCAGCCACCTGGACAGCCACCGGAGGATGGCACCCACCCCTATCCCCGCCCGGAGCCCATCTGACTCCAGCACAGCCTCCACCCCTGTCTCTGAGCAGATCGAGCGGGCCCTGGATGAGGTCACGTCCTCGCAGCCTCCACCACTGCCACCCCCACCCCCACCAGCCCAAGGTAAATGAGGAGTGCTAGCTGCACTGGGCTTCTTACCAGTCCCTGTGCTGGAAACCCCATGTGGCCATGGTAATAACTCCCCAGGGATCTAGGCTACCCATCACCCAGGCTGCACTGTCCTGGAAGTGGTTGTGGCCAGGAGGAGCCCTGGTGTCACAGTGACACCTGTCCTCTGAAGCTTAGTTTCTCTCCCTGGAGTGGGGATCAGGCCTTCTTCCCAGGGCTGCCGAGTGGCTTAAAGACACTAGGTAAAAGGGCAGTGGGGCCCAGTAGGTGCTGGAGGGCAGTCTGCACAGAGCTCTTAGTGGAGACCATCTTCCAAGAGGTTGCCAACTTTTTTGGGGGGGGCAGGGTAGATAGGGTGGCTGCCCAGGCCCTGCATCCTTTCCTGAGGGAGCTGGTCCCATCCGTCTCCTCCATTTGTGTTGTAACAGAAACCCAGGAGCCTGGTCCCAGCCCGGATAGCGAAGAGACCAGCAAGGAGTCCAGAGCCACAGCCCCTCAGGCCTGGGCTGGCCCTGTGGAGGAGCCCCCTCAGGCACTGGAGTCTCCCCGGGGGCAAGGCAGCCCCATGGAGGACTTTATGTTCATGGTGGCTCCAGAGCAGGCTGTCCTGGCTGCTCCTCTGGAGCCTGCCATAGCTGACACTGCTCCAGCCGACACCCTGGCAGCTGCTGCCACTGCAACCAACATTCCTG